ATGTATTTAACATAAATATTACTTTTTTTTTTCGTAATAAAATCCCAAAAAATATGAACAAAAAAATATTTATATTAAAATAAAATATTTGAAACATATTTTAATTATTTATTATACAGTAATACATACATATATGAGCTCAATATTTAATAACAATAATTGTAAGTAAAATGAATAGTAGGTAGTCTCCCCTATTCTTGGAAAAATGAACCATATTTTGTTGGGTGTCCGGTGTTTCCTATAAAAACAAAACAAACAGTATACATATGTCTTATTGAACAATTTCTCTTATCAAATATTAATAAAATACAACTTTTTCTTTTTAGGACTTAAATTTCTGACTCTACTTTTATTTATTTGTTTTTCTTTGTTTCGAGGGTCGTTCAAATTGTTCATCCTAATTATTAAGTTTATCTACGTTTGCAACTAATTTCTTGTTTTTCTTATGCTGCTATATTTGTGCTTCACCCTCAACTTATTCTAAAATCTAATTTTCAGGTTGTATATGAATGTCCAACTAGCAGTTAACGTTTCGAGGAAACCTTACTAAAAGAGGCAGAAATGGTCTGCACAAATATAGCGATTATTATTATGTCCATACAAACAATAAGTCAACTACAAAGAAATACCGATAATGGAAAAAAAAGTTCGGCTTCCATTTGAAGATGCTTAAAAAAATTCACTAAATATTATGTATGAATACATCTAAAAAGGAGTCTCTACCAGGAGTATGTCATTATTATGCCCCTGGACGATAGTAATACACTTATTTTAATACTAAAAATGATTAACTCAACTCCGAATTGGAATATAGTAGTCCAGTTTATTATTTCTCTCTACGTCGCTGAAATGAACAAATAACCTGTGTAGACAGACTGGAATATCGTGCCGTGCGGCATTGTAGTCAAAAGTATCCGCAAAGTAAGAAGAAACCAGTGTCGTCGCATCGTTAAGTCAGTTTATTATTTAATTTAATTGGTTGGAGTATTTTAAACATTAATTATTACCACATATTTCAATTTTTACGATTTATTATATAAAATAGATGTAATAAATAATTTTACAAAGCGAAAAATAGATTAATAATCAATCAATTTGAAATATAGGTACTGCGTTCCAAGTATATGATACAAAATTAAAAACTGATATAAATATATACCAAATGCAAAGTGTCTATTGAAATTATCGACTGTCGGTATATAATTTTTTTCAGAAAAATAAAATGCCGTCTCTGGAATAAATATTTTAATTAGTGCTTTCCAATTCTTTCGAAATAAAGGTTTCTTATTTTATATCAATTCTGCATGACATACCTACCTTCTTATAGATATAAATAGGTAGGAAATAATTGACTTAATTGGTTATAGTGCAAACATATCTCGATTAGTAAACGAATACGAACGTCAACATTTTATTAATATAGTTATAAAAAATATTTTAAAATTAAAATTACAAAGTAAATGTAGAAATAACCTAAACATAGACCGACTTATAAAATTAAAATGTGACTTACATATTGCTGATTTAACACAGATTTTCTCATTGTTTCCAAATTCCTGCTCCTCGTCTTATTTTTAGTTTTTAGTTCATCTTTTTTATATTTTTCATCAAAATACAAATCGTGATTCATTAAAAATTCTTGAATTTCATCTTTCTTAGAGTTTTTATTAGGTATTTTTTCCTTAAGCCTGGAGTGATATGAAGCATTGTCCATAACTATTACACTTTTTGGCTTTAAATTAGGCAACAGTGAATTCGTAAACCATTCTTCAAAAATATCGGAATTCATATTTGAATGGTAATCAATCTGGCAGCTATCAATTTTTTTCCAATTAATAGTAAGGCATTGTCAACCCAACCGTCCTCTGAGCCACAGTTTAATATTATCAGTCGAGTGCCTTTATTTGGAGGGATACCTAAGGCTTGGCAATATTTATTATCGTTTCTCCAGCCCTTTTTTGCAGTATCATGCGAATCATATCACGTTTCATCCAGAAAATAAATTGGCCTGCTTTCATTTTTATATTCACGAATTTTCTGTAAACAAGAATTTCTCCAGTTTACAATTCGTCTTGTTTCCATCACGCGCTTCTTTTATCTATCGTTTTGTATTTAAAACCGATTTTTTTTAGCCAATTATACAATGTAGACTTTTTTATATTTGTATCGAAATAAGTTTCACTTAAGCGTCTATGTATAATATCAAGACTGGGAATGGTATTTTGTTTATAAAGTTCATACACTGGGTTCACAATGGATTTGGCCATGGATGGATCTAATTTTTTTTGCACACCTTTGTCTTCACGGACTTTTCTGCTGGAAATTCCATTTTTTATAATTTGGTTCATTTTATAAACCGATATACCAGTAAGAAACGCTGCTTCTTGAACGGTAGAAGTGTTTTCGATATATCCACGTTTTAACAAATTTTTATAAACATTTAAACAAATTTGCTGGGACTGTTCATTTAAAAAGAGTTTATTTTTTATTAGGCACTGCATTAGTTTCTCCATCACTGTTTGATGTACTGGTGCTCGGAATACTATCCCACGGTCTCCACATAGTTAATAACACATACACAAAAATTATTATTCGTTTATTAAAATTACTATATAACCTCCAAAACACAAACTGATTATTGATAAAACGAAACTAAACACTAATAAAACAGAAACTAATATTCTATAAAAGTTTAAAAAGTACGATGCAGGAGCTGTTATCCGTACAAAACTCAACAGGTCACTAAGATGAACAAAACTCCACTGAAAGTAAAAATAATTATTTTTATTCAAATACGTTTCATTTTCCTTTTCGGCATTGGTTAAAAATTCGGCTCTTTAAATGGACAAAGACAATATGCCGACAAAAACAATATGCCGACGAAGGCAATAGCCGACAAAGGCAATAGCCGTCAAAGGCGATACACCGCCAAAAACAATATACTTACAGAGGCAGTATACCGACAAAGCTATTCACGCTTCTTGGAGAAAAAATGCAAAATTTTATCTAAAACACTGAAATCGTTGAAGGAAAACATCAGTTATAAATCCTACTTATTTTATTCTAATTAGGTATATATGTATAGTATATAAAAAATTACTATTTTAAATCTTCAAATCGAAAGAAACATATACCTATAATACGTACATATAATTAAATTATTAAGTAATAACATATATCTCCGTCTATGGGCGGTCTATCAAAGAGTTAGTTTAGCTGACTTCCGACAAGCAACCCGTTCCCCATACCAATTTTTTTTTCGAATTATTCAAACAGCTGCCGAACTTTTCTTGCGTTTGCGGTATTCCTTTATAGTTGACTTATTGTTTGGATGGACTATATCTAAAGTTGAATTTAAAGTCTTAAACCAGTTCTGGCAAATTTTAATATCGGAAGGAAAATATGAGAAAGGTTTAATATTTGAATATCCAACTTTCTGAATTTTAGATTAATACATATTTAAACAATTAGGAGCTGAACAAGAATACTCTCGAGTTCTCGAGAATACTTAACTATACCCGGGCCAGACATTTTTTGTTTCAAATATTAAAACAGAATTGAAAATCCATGAAATATGAAATTATATAAGGTTAAGAAAACAATGATAAACAAAGTCCTTAAATAAATTTATACGCCTTTAATATTAAATTAAATTGCTAATACTTACTAATTATATCAAATCAACAGTGTCTATCTTCTGAAAAATAACTTACCGATCTTTAGAACTTTCATCATAATTAATAAAATAAGTTTTATCATTTCATTATCATATTTGGCCTTCCGCCATTACGGTTTTTCATTTTTTACGAGGTTGTCAACTTCTTTTTTTTTTAAATCCCAGCAATAGTATGGACATTGTATGGATAGTATGGTGCACATGTAGATTGATAAAAAATTAAAATAAGATGAATTTGAAATAACTCTCATCTCATAAAAGTTTAGGGAAACGCAACATCGCTTTCATACTATTGCGATGGTGGTGCTAATTAAAAGTATGCTGAAAACTACAACATGTTGACAGTGGCGTGCATTTTAAAAATTTATCTTGTTTTATTCATTTATCTATGGTACAGTCTCGACTTGAGTTACTTTTCTGAAAATCAAGACCGGACTGCGTGGTGACAGGTTCCAGTCACCAGAAGAAGCAGTCGAGTCTTTTAAAAACGCATATTTCGACTAAAAACAAAGGAGTAAAATAACTGCTTCCAGAGTTGGTTCGAGCGAATGCAAAAGTGCATTAAATTTCGTGGAGAATATTTCGAAGTTTTTAAAATCTATTTAGTGTTTGGGAGGGGTGGGGGGGGGTTGGCTCAATGGGTGGAGTCATGACTTTGAGATCGAGAGATCATCGGCGTAGAGATTTTTATTTAATAACAAAAAATAATAATAATAATTCTAATGCATAGGTAGGATTCCCCACTCGACCATTCACTGCTGGGTTTCAATTAACAGTGCTGTTCCTAAAGTGGCGCATGGAGACAGTAACAAGGCCTGTCTGTAGGGGAGCAGGAGTATTAGAGTACTAGCACTCTTGCACTACGGAGTATTAGACTACTAGTAAAATCCATAACCTACATATAACACAAGGCTAATGACCTAAGTTGTCAACGCCAAAGACACCAATAAAAAAAAGTTTTATTCCAGCTATTTATGCAAATTTAAAAAACAACCCTCGTACCCACTGTTCATTTAACCTTGACGCTTTTAGCTATATTTTCATTATACTATACCAAAGCTAGATTCTTAATGGTAGTCGCATGTTTTAATGACTATCAAAATTGTAATTATATAATTTGTAATTTATAATGTAGTTTCTGATATAACGTATATATTTATAAGGTTCAAATGTTTAGGGATCATTAAGATTTTTATTTAAAAAACTATCTACTATGTACAAAAAAATATTATTACATTATTTTGGTATTATCTATAGTAGTCTATAGAATAAGTGTATACACAAAAGTTTCATAATTTTTATATAAATAAAAGTATTCAGACTTATGTAGGTTATTCTACATTAAATAAATGCTTTACAGAGATGTACAGAGATATCTGTTCAATTCAGCCTAGGGATTGTAGGTGTACAGTGTGGGCGTAGTCATCTTCCTTTATGCAATTCGAACATATTCTTTGTTGTAGGCATCTCTAACTAGGCATCTTTGGTTTTGTCTCCTTTCGAAGATGGAGTTACAACTGTGACGACCTGAAAATAGAAATGTAATATTAATATAAGATAATTTTAAATAGACGAAATACACTATCTAAAAATGTTAAGTCGATTGTAAGCAGGCTAGGGGATCTTTAATAGGGAAATGCTTACTCGTGTTATAGTAGTGTGCAACATTCATAGATGGCGTTACACAAAGTTTGCTCGTTGCGTTCGTCGAGCAGGTTTAGAGTGTGTTCAGAGCAGGTTCAGAGTAACGCAAGCGTACGCAAGTTGGCATTTAACACTTTCGATAGCCATTGCTCAATTTTGTACTAAATTAATTCTAATTGTTTTATTTGTTTACTGTTTTAAAAAGAGTTTTTAGGGCTTTAAACATATAAAATTATGTTGCGAATTCGTCCTTGTTCTGTTCCTGATTGTTAGAATAAAGTTAGCCGCAGGTAAGGAATACATTTACAATTTTATTTCTTTACAAGTAAAAACTTCTGTTTGTATTTTATTTCTAAATACCTACATTGGCAAATTTTAAGAGAATATATTAACACTAAAAAGTACCCAATTTTTAGAATAAATTTCACAAAAAAGATACGGATAACCGAATGTTTTCTAAGAAAAATTGAGAGTTGTTCTAACCTAACTTTTATCAATTTCTGTACAATTTTGCCAAGAGTTTTAGTTAGTAACTAGGTAGATAAAATATGTGAATATTAAGAAGATTTAAATACTTTTATACTCAGCTAGCATAAATAAAATTTAAAAACAAAATGGCTTAATTAAGCATTAAGCACTATTCCCTAGAGTATACATTTCATTTCCGGCATTTGACATATTTTGTGTTATGTTACGTAAACTAACTCACTGGAATATGAAAGAATGATCAACGATGTATGTTTAATTTAATTAATAAATTGTATGTTATTCCCAATTTTCTTGGTATGTTCGTGAACCTGTTCCCTTAACTAAACTGGTGTACCTATTTATGTTTATAAAAATTAGTAAAAACTCTAAGTAGAACAGGCAAAATTTTCAGCCAATGTGAACAATTGTTAGTTCTTCAATACAATTCATTTCCATTTTTAGATGGAGCATATTGTAAAAATGAATCCAGTTTTTTGTCATATTGCTTGGAAATACTTTATTATACTGAGTTTTGGTGGGATACTCGGAGTATAGTTAGAGCAAGAGTACATTTTGGTTACATGACATCGGAGGTAATAATAATAAACATAACCCTATACAAAAAATAATCTTATTTTTGCGTTTGCAGAGAAAATACATTATTTTTTAATATGTTACCTAGTAACATTTGCAGTAGAAAATGATTTTGACAATGATGAGGAAAAATATTTATAATTTTGCCTAAAACACATTACATAATATGAATATGAAAATCAATTTGTTGTACTTAATTTTCATCTAAAACCATCAATTTTTGATATTCTCTTTAATATTTTATTGGTTTCTGATATTATACCGTTTTCTTGCATAATAGCAGCACTGTGGTTGACGTTAATATTTCCATAATTTTTACAAATTGTAAAGCAAAACAAAATGAAATTTAACCTGCACATTTCACAACAAGGAGGAAAACAAAAGATAAATATCCACAAATCGCAAAACAACGAACGGATATTGATTATTACACGAGATTGTTTCTGAGTCATGTCTCATCGAGGTGGTGCAGAATAATTTACTCCATATAGGTACTTCTGCTCTGTCCTATTTAAACATAATACAGTTTACGCGGGTCTCTTGACGAGTGTAATTTGAAAGCGACGAAAAAAACGAATATCACTATAAGACATATAAGAATGCGACATACCATTTTATAATTCTACAAGATTTCTCTATTTATACTATTTGAGTGTTTATATTACTATTTCATAAACTAAAAGATGGAAATTAGATTAAACAATACGATCTTCCAGAAAATGAATGAATAAATTATTAACTGTGAAGCAAGGAAAGCATGTAGCACGAGACGCTACATTAGGCAACGAAACTAAGCAATATGTAGAATTTTGGTATTTTGATTACAAAACCAGCACATTCAGAGGCAGAGGTATTGTGAGAATTCTGACGTAATCACTAATGTAGTAGTTTATTGTTTTATTGAGGAAGAGTATTGGCACCCTTCAGGCCTAAGTTAAAGGTTTGGGCTCTCTGTATATTACCATTATCTACATAATTATCTCTACACAATCACCCATAAAACAAAAATAAATAATAATTTTACGATGTAGGTATAATACCGAGAGAGATGCAAGTCGTTTGCAAAAACAAACATTCTCGGTGAAATGTTTGTACGGATTAATTTTAATTTCCGTTTTTATTCGCTAATCAAGGAGGCCATTAGTCCGTGAGAACCCTTTTAATTAATATAAAACAATTCGTTATTGTGTTTTGATCTCTTGTTGTGATCACTTTTTCCTCGATTATTTTTATTCATTTTATAATTAACTTGTTTATTAAATGCCTCTATTGCTAGGAAAAGTTTTGATAATTTAACAAACTCTAAATTATAGAGAAAAAATTGATTTCGTATTTTGAGTCAAAGTCGCTTTTATCAGAATTTCAGTTTGGGTTTCGAAAAAATAAATCCACTATACGCGCCTTAATATTTTTCTTGGAAGAAGTAGTTAATACTCTTGATGATAGTTTAAGCACAGTAGCGACTATGTGTGATTTAACAAAAGCATTCGATTGCGTTCCGACGGATTTTTTACTAAATAAATTAGAGTTTTATGGTAACCGTGGAAAAGAATTAGATTTACTGACTTCATATTTGAAAAATAGAATGCAATATGTAGTTTATGGTGATAAAACATCAACTTTACGTCCTACTTCCAGTGGTGCATCACAAGGCTCAATATTAGGACCGATTTTATTGAATATATATATATATATATATATATATATATATATATATATATATATATATATATATATATATATATATATATATATATATATTAATGGTCTGGCGAGCGCAATAGAAAACTTTTGCATGTTGTTTGCGGATGATATCAGATTTTTGTCGATTGGTAAACGAAAGGGTGATACTACGCCGATAGGAGCGTGGTTTTCTGCCAATCTCTTAAAAATGAATGAGTCGAAAACAAAACACCTATTAATTAGAAATGGGCAACTAAATCGAAACCAGTCAAATTATAGGGCATATATTTAGATTTAGTTTATTGGACACCACATCGTCGTCAATATCACGAAGTGACATAACTCGAAAAATTGAAAATTGAGATGAGTCACATATTATGTAAAAAAAGTATGCTCTAAAATTTAACGAAATTACATTTATTAAAATAGTACGTATCTAACTGTGCGTATCTGATAATTTTACGAAGAGACGTAACTTCATAAAAAAACTTTAAAATGCTCTCTTGTAAAGTTGTAAAAATCGAGTTACGTCACTTCATGATATTGACGACGACATGTGGATTACCTGTGCTCTAGGTTAGCCATTCAAATTTTTGTTATGCGTCAACTAAAATCATGCCTACCTAGTCATTTAGTAAAAACTGTATATTTTTCACTTCTCCACTTCTTGTCAACCAATATTTAAAAAACATAAAATATTACCCATGCCTTCCATGTACATCTTAGAAACTCTACTTGAAACACACAATGACCTCAATAACTTAAAAAGGCATAAAGATATAATTACAGCACCCGGTTGGGCCAAGACATAGTCCTCAAGAAATCTAGAATTCAGATTACTAAAAACAATTCTTTAGATGTTTCCCTCTACAATTCCTTTCGAAAACATTTTGAATCAAAAGATTTCGATAATATGGCAGAATAAATTTAATAAATGTGTAATTGATTTTCTGCTTCAACATTGCTTCTATAGCACACATGAATTCTTAAAGAAATTAAATCTGTAACTTGTTTGTTAAAACATTCTTAGTATAATTAAACCATGTAATTATTACCATTAATATTAAGGATCTTTTATTTTTTTAATTGTCAATGTTTAAACTCCAATGTTTCATTATTTAAGTTTTTAATGTTATTTAATATTTGACTATTGTGACTTCAAAAGTACCTACATGTACGTATATGTGGTCAATAAACTCTATCTATCTATAAAAAATTACTATTTACAATAAATAAAAAATATTTTTTAAAATGTAATACATGAATCATAAGTTACTTACCTTTGAATGTCCAACCCAAGTTTCTATTGTAGAATTAGGTGGCGGGGTGTATGCCGTTATGCCCATAAGTCCAAAGAGTGGATGTCCAGATGTTGGCTTAGTTGTAGTTGTTTGGAGGTTATTAACTACAAACAAATATATTTTAATGGCAATAATAATGGGTGGTATATCAGAAATTACAAATTATTTAAATTTTTTGCCAATGAATTTAAAAATTGACTGCATTTATGCAACTTGTAATGCAGATACGTCACTGGTGTGTTGAGTTATTGCTCTGGGAAATTGATAATATAACTATTGATAATATAACTAACTCTCTTCTAATACTTCGACATTAAATTAAAAATCATTATATTCGGCACATGACTGTAGCTAAAAAAATATTTTTATGAGAAAGTCTAAAGATATTTAGGAAAAATTATTATGTGTTGTATTTTTGCTACAACAGGCATTAAATTATACAAAAAGAACACTAGGATAGAACAGTGTGTGTAACAAAAGTGTATATGATAATGCCAACTGCGACATGCTCAAACTTCGTTTTTATGCTACACGGACACTCCAGTATATTTTATTTACGTACGACCCACCAACTAAAATCTACAAAATTTTAAAAATTTATTTAGATGTTATTGAGATATAATAACCATTTTATAGATAATGCATAAAATTTAAAATTATGAATTTTACCAACAATAAAAACAAATAAAAATGGGAAAAAAGACCTCATCCTCTGGTCCTTGGAATGGGAATGCGGTCGCGCTAACAACTTTTACATTTTAAAAGGCTTAAAATATAAAATTGAATTGGTTTTATTAAATTTTACAGTTTCTTTATAAATAATCACCCATTATACTTTTCACATAATAGTCTGTGAACATATAAAGCTTTTGGTTCCGTCCGTCCGATATCACGTTTTTTGTCCGTACGATAAGTCAAAACGATACCAATTTGAAAATTTCAGGAAAAATCAAGCTCTATTCGCTCCGTGCGTGACCGCAGCGCTAACTAATTTATTTACTAATGGACGATTTTTATGTATACTGACAATACAATTTTTAATAGAATTCGTAGTTAAAAAGTATTTATGTTAGTTTTAATAAACGTGTATAGATTTGCAAAACAAGTGAAGACATTAATTTAATATTATTATATATTTTTATCGCTTAAACTAAAAAAAAAGTAAGTATAATCAGTAAAAATAAATAATAAAGCATAGACAGGTAATAGTATTTACGAGAAAATATATGAGAAGTTGCCTAAGTCTAATAAGTTGTTTTTGAAGATTTAGTCTATTCTGTCAAAATAAAAAAATACCATTAAATAATAGTGTGAAATTAAAATGTATGAAAAAAAGGGTTGTTATTTATATTTTCTTCATTTTTGTTCGAAAGAACGGGTCAGGGGAGCTTTGGCAGCTCCGTAGCTGCCAAAATATTCATTTTGGCACTTTGTGCCCATGGAGACTTTTGTTCAGGATGACAAAATCTACAACATATCAAAAATTCAGACAATTTGACAAAAACCCAATTTCCATAAGATTACTGCGGGGTCCTTTATTTTGGAAAGTGGATGTAAGTAGCAAAGAAAAACTTAATAGATCCTATAATAATAAACCTCAGAAAAGACAATGATAATAATACCAGTAGTTATAGTGAAGACAGTGACTTTCTTTTTTAATCTTTGATTTTAGGTACTGAAGTGTGCCAAGAGATTAAAAAAAGTTTAATCCCATTAACAATATATAATCCTCCTTGCTATTTATTGGTTAAATTTAATTCGTTCATTGTTAAAGTGCAACAATTTTGTCAGAAGCATAAAGTTGATTTTTATTTTTTGTAACTTTTTTTATTCAAAATTTAATCTACGAAGTGCGTATATACCATTTTATATGCCGTGTCCTTATTTATATTATAGAAACTTATTTTTCAAAGTACGCCAATGGAATGAGACGTTACATCCCCACTTTTACTGCACTCCTCTTTTATTCAGACTATATCACTGTCGTATTTCTTATGAAATTCAGTGATTTGTTGTTTATGGAGTGTAGAGGTAAGCACAACTAAAAGGTCTCCCCTTTAAATATATATAGTCGGTGTCCCTCATAATATATGAAATTAAGATAGCGTTACTGTACCAGAAGGGCGCGGAAAGTTGTGACAGTCGATAATTCAGATCACAGAGTCACGCCAATGATGTCTATAGTACTATAATTGGCTCACCCATATGTATATATAGCACTTTTTAATTTTTAATTGTTTTTTGATATCTTGTAAAATTGTAATTATTTTTTAATATATATGACGAAAAACTACTAGACTAATCTGTTCAATTTATAATTAAGCCCTTATTTATTTGCAAGTATTTAACCCGTGTTTTATGTAAGGCAGACAGAGTTGTCGCATCAGCTGCCGCATTAGAGCGAAACATCTACTAAATTGAGTGAGGATGATTTGTGAGAGCGCGGCTTTAAGATTAAACCAGCGTGTACAACTACGATTGCTGGTTTACACCGTTACTATACTCCAAAATAAATAGTTTACTTTTCAGTAAATCACATTTAGCTACAATAGTTGCAACCAAAAATAAATATTGAAGCAGAAAAAATGCAAATATACTTCTTTATTGTAATTTTGAAAGCCTTTTGAGCGTTTTACACTCTTATGTCAAGTAAATTCCGAATTATAACTGTAAACAATGCTTCTAACAAGATTCTACCATAATAATTTTGGCAACTACGTGAATAACACCATGAATACTTGTAATTCGTTTTTGTAAACAAAATTGTCTAGTAGGACTTTTCTTCTATTTTTAACCAACATTTAATGATAAAAAAATATATTTTTAGCTGAATTGTCAAATTGGTTCTTAAATTTTATTGAGTTTCAACTTATAGTCACCAATACCCCCAATATTATAAAAAAAACTCTTACTTAAATGAGGCCACTCGCTGTAGACTACCTTGATAGCGTTCTTGATGCTCTTCTGCATCTTTTCTCTAGACTCATTACTTTGCGGTTCTATCCTAACAGAGAACCTTTGCGAATTCACTGTTACATTGTTGTAGGTACCATTTTGTACTTTCGGAGCCATGCTCCAAGCATTTGCGGGACTGGAAGTCACAAAACTGTAGGCTTGCGGAGTTACCACGTACACCTTTTCTTTGGAATGGGGACTAACTGTAACGTAAGCAGATTTCCAAGACGATTTTTGCTCCTTTTTGACTAGAATGGTTTCTGTGGTCGTTGGTAAAGGTGTTGTAGAAGTATCAGTACTAGCTGCATCTGCAGCAACAATGATGTTTGTTTCTATATCTGCATCAATTTCAGTTTCTTTTCTAGAAGATTCTGCTGACTGGTGATCAAATATATCATTAGAATACGTAGTAGTTTTTGGTGTGAAGAAATCTGCTGGTATTTGTTTTGGTGATAACACTGGATCTGGAGCAGTCTTTTCATGGGAAAAAGATTGGTGGGTCCAATCGTCTATATTTTTTTGTAACGATATTATATCGTAGGGCAGTTGTTCTTTAACGGTATTATAATCATTGGCAGCTATTAGATCTTTAATATTGTAAACGGCTGTACTAACTTTCGTAAAAGGTTTGCTAGTAACTTTGTTTAAATTAGTTGTATCAATGTTGGTTAAAAACTTGGCCCAAACTGAATTCTCGGTAGCCATTGGAGGTGTATACGAGGGTACAAGAGTTGTATAACTTTCTGTAGGTTTAATTTTGTTTGTATAAGGGACGATGATCTGAATTGGTTTTTGAGTACTGGTTTGTACCCAAGATGACTTGCTGTTAAACGGTGGTGGTACCATCGAACTGGATACCGCTGGTGGATGGTACTTCGGAACCCAATCATTGTTATAATCTATAGTAGGTAGATGGAAAGTTGAGGTTTGATTCATCGTTTTCACTCCAAGAGGCTTAGTTTTTGGATCTCCAAGAATACCTTTTTCGATCAATAGTTGTTTTATTAGATCAGCTTCGTTTTGTGCTTTATTTATTTTTGAAATGTCTTTACTACTTCCTGATAAGTATTTGTCAATGTTTCGTTTTTGAGAAGTATCTATCGCCGATACGTTACTTTTAATATTAGTAGCAGATGTATGTGTATCTTCTACCACAATAGGGTTTTCGCTGAGTTTGAAATTTCCAATATCATTTGAAAAGTTTGGTAAATTATTTTCAGGATAATGAGTTTTAGCGTTACGGGTGGTATAAACTGAATTATTTTGATAGTTGTGTTCAGGTTCTTCATTGATCTGAAGCTCAACTAATGGCGACTGTATAATGTTTATGGGATGTTCTACAGAAGCTACAAAATCAGCAACTTTGACGCTTTTTTGCACTTGGACATTCTGATCATTGTTTTGATGTCCTTTGAAATTTCTAAATTCATAAATGGGTAATGCAGGTACTGGACTTAAGTTGGGCAAATGTACTTGTGGATTTTGTAAGTTAAACTGATGACCATTATTTATGTTGGTGTTAAACGAATGATCGTTATCACCGCTTGGAGCTGGTAAAGAATCAAATTGTGGATTGTATTCAAAATTTTCACCAGTTACAGGGTTGCCGTAACTGTCTGATGGTACAGGTGGGGGAATGAAACCGTTGTCCAATGGAATATCAGCCAAGTGAGAATCAGAATTATCAACAACTTGAGAACTGTCTACAGAAGCTTGTGGTGGTGGAATAAAATTTTGAGAAACAGCATCTTGTAAATCATTAATATTTGGAAAACTATCCGGTATTCTCTCGAGAACAGTCGACTGCGAATTTTGCGTAGGCGATGGTAAACGTTGAATAGTAAAATCTGGTTTCGGTATTTCAAATATTGGCTTATTTGGTACACCATAAACCGGTGCTGGTGGAACACCATACTCAGGTTGAGGAGGGGGTGGGTTGAAAATGCTTGGTGGAAGACCATAATCTTGGTTAGGAGGAGGACCATATACCGGTTTGGGTGGACCGTATTCAACTTTCGGAGGATTAAAATCTTGAGGTGGTCTATATTCTGGTTTGGGCGGTACGCCATAATTTGGCTTAGGTGGCGGGCCGTAATTCGGTTTGATAGGAGGACCATAATTTGGTTTGGGACGTCCATAGGACGGTTTCGGAGCCCCATACAATGGCTTGGGAAGACCATATAACTTCTTGGGTGGACCGTACATCAAACTAGGTAATTTGTAATGAACTGGAGGAGGGATCATATAGTCTAATACGAACACATCTCCCGAAGATGGAGGGGGAGCACCGTGTAAAGGATTTGGGGGACCATATAAAGTCTTGGGTGGTCCATATTCTTGCTTTGGAGGTCCGAACAGTGGTTTGGGTGGTCCATATTCTTGATGTGGGGGTCCATATTCTTGTTGTGGTGGTCCATATTCTTGTTTAGGTGGTCCATATTCTTGTTTAGGTGGTCCATATTCTTGTTTAGGTGGCCCATATTCTTGTTTAGGTGGCCCATATTCTTGTTTAGGTGGCCCATATTCTTGTTTAGGTGGCCCATATTCTTGTTTAGGTGGTCCATATTCTTGTTTAGGTGGACTATATTCTTGTTTAGGTGGCCCATATTCTTGTTGTGGAGGCCCATACTGAGGTTTTGGAACTCCGTATTGGACATTTGGAGGTGTTCCATATAATCCAGAGTATCCGTTATTTAAATTACTATTTACACTATGTGCGGGACTAGAAAAATGGTTTTGATTTCCGTTGTTATATTTATTATGGCCTGCTATTGGTATCCACGGTTCAAGGTTACAAGGACTACAATCTTTGTCATGATCACTGGTCAAAGAATGTGGTGGTGGTAAATAATGGTAACCTCCAAATTCTGCTGAAGCTGGAATTTGATCTTGGTTAATTTTTCTTTCGGAAGCATTGTTCGGTGGAAATATCCATCCTGTAGATTTAGATATAAAGAAACGTTCATCATTTTTTGATGCATGTCGTATGGCGTTTGTACGGGATTTATCTTCTAGCTTCTTTCGTGAAATTTCGCATTTCGTTGTGGATGTTATGTAAATAAGGAGAAGAGGGAAGAGCTGAAAATAAAAAAAAAATATGTTAATTGTAAATTTTTAGGTGTTTAACTTAATAATGGATTGTAGGGAAGGTGTAATGAGATCCAACAAAAGTTCCTTATTTTTCATAGTTATTTAATAATGTATTATTATTAAAAGTTTTTTACTAAAAAGAAAGTAAAAAATTGACAAAACAGATACAGTGTCCACGGATACTTGTAAAAATAATTATTTTAAATAAATAAGGCATTTTTCCTAATTTCTATTATTTGTACAACAAAATTGAAGTTATTGTGGACGCACTATACAGTATATTAACTTCCCGACACTGACTCCAGGAAAACGGTATAGGAACACAATTCCGTTGAATAGACAGAAATAGAATAATACGTGGCCGATTGCGCACTACAAAATCCCATTCGTTCCAATGAAAGGGAGTATTTAAACTAAGGTAATCTCTTTATGCCTCTCACGACTAAATAAAATTAAACGTCTCATCTTTATTTTGCTTGATGTGGTAGTGAACGTACTGTCTATTATGAGTATATTTAATTATTAATAAGACTGTCATTGTGTATCTTAAACTATTATTAAATTGTTTTATTTAAAAAATAGAATTGAACAAAATTTAATAAGGTTTCCAACAGTCAATTACTTAATAAAAGTTGCATTAAACAAACATTTAACAGGAAGACTAAAAACTAACAGTTAAAATGGCGTTAAATTGGATTATACATATCAAAAAACGTTTTTTGAACGGTCAAATTCAGTTCATAAATAATCCCACTTTTTCATCATTGATATAAAATTTTCAATTATTCTTTTATTTTCTCTTACTCACATTATTTTTCAACTTGCCACAAAAACATAATTCTTGCTCCAAATACTTTTATTAAAATATTTTTACTATTCATATTTCGACTTTAAACTTGCCCAGGTGCGGGGTAGTTTCAAAAATATTTTTTTCCAATTTACATAAACTTGAGTTCTGTTTTGTTTTTACTAACTGTTAATCCTTAAAAAATCCGTTTAATGTAACATTAATTTCCTTTTGATCAGAGGCGGATTGAAGGTTTCGTAGGTTTTCGTAGGTTCTAGCTTAGGCCTCAAGATAAAATTATATAATTTTTTGTAAAGTTATGGGAATGCAAAAGTTTAGTGCACCTAATGTTATATATATATATATATATATATATATATATATATATATATATATATATATATATATATATATATTAAAAACGTATACTTAATGAACAGCCATGTGTCACAGAATAAACCAAGCAACGGTTTCCTTTTGAAAAACAACTCGTCCTTTGGATAACACTGCAACAGGCATTGAATTATATCCGAAAAAAAAAACAACAGAGATAAAAATTTTATTACAACATCCTAACTTTGATTTTGTTTACGAAGGAGAACGTCAGTCTTGGACGGTTTCGTCCTTATTAGGGCTTATTAGAAATTGGAATCGAAAATGTCTGGGATCACAGCCATATCCATTAACTGTCAGTAGTTTTAAGGTACGTCTCAAAAAGTGGTGATATACATGATGATTGATATTTGTTCATATAGAATATCATGATGTCAAATATATTTTCGACATTATAATTTCAATATTGGAGAATCATTGAATAGTCCTAAAAGTTTTATGCCAATCGTATGACAATGCGGCTAATATGAGCGAAGTTTATTTAGAAATACAAGCTAGATTGAAAGAAATTAATAATGTAGCAACTTAGGTACCATGTTGAGCTTATAGCCTCAACTTAGCAGACACTTCTGCAGCAGAACGTTTCTTAGAAGATGGTATTAAGGACGGTTATTTGGGAAGAAATACTGAAACATTTCGATATTGTTTATAAAGCTCTTAAAGAATCTGGAATCGAGTTTAATACAATGGTACAACTGTACGACAGTCTGATTCAATATTTATCAAACTGGAGAAGTGATAAGTATGAGAGCTTTTACTTCATAACAAAGTATTCAGGAATCGTAAAAGAACACAGTTTGATGAGAAACCAGACGAGAGCTTATCTCACAGTGCAAAAAAATCTTTTAGAATAGATGTTTATTTCATTTCTTTGGATATTCTTTCTACAAAGATGATAAAGACGTAGTCTGCATCCATTGAACTTCATGAGAAATTTAGTATTCTCACCGAAAAATAATTTAAGGAAGACACTATCAAGCTTAAGGCTGAAGTGTTGGTTGAAGTTAATGAAAATTTTGTCGATAAATTCTATTTTTTTTTTAAGTTTATATCCCGATATCACCTCTGTAATAGAGCTGATGAAATTATAAGTAATGTATTTACTTGTCTCAAGTTTTCCAAATGGAAATATCTTGTTCAAAAATAATAACTTTAGTTACTCTCTTTATGATAAACTTTGTATAAATAATTATAATAAACATTAGAACAAGAATATATTTTGTTACTCAATCTGTATATTACATTACCTAGTTTAGAAATCGCACACAAATCAAAGCCAACCCTGGCAGATGCAGGAATGCAGTTTAACGTAATTCAGAGTTCCCAAAAAAACATTCTATGAACACTTGCACCATATCTACCAGTCATGAAAAATTGTGAGTAATTAAATACAAGTGCCTACTCTCTTCCACTGGCAGATCTGTTTCACTCACTCTCGTATTGGCATATTTAAAATAAATCGTTAAAAATAAATATATACGCTTATTCAATAGTTACAACACTCACTCTATATCTGTCCACACAATCTCGTGATCTCTCATGCTACGTTTTTCAAAAACCAATCACAAGACAATGTCAAACATACAATATTTTCTCTAGACCAATCACAACATTGGCACACAAGCGTTAGCCTCTCGATACGTTACATAACTCACTGACGCCGAGATCCTTTTCAAACTCCAACTGAGCAGCACCGATTGTATTTGAAACAATATAAAGAGATGTTTTGAACTAACATGTTTGTTAGAAAATATTAAATTGTTATATGGTATACGATGCAAAGTTTAGAGTGTTAAATAAACCAGTTAGCAGAAGTAATTACTTTAATTTCAACATTCCAAAGCAAATTATCCAGTTCATCACTAAAATTCTACAATTTGCAAGTTTTCTACAACTATACAGGCCTTTGCCCCCATTGCCTTTCCGTAACTGTCGCACTACTTACTACCCTTCACCTTACTTGTTTCAACCTTTCACAAATCTATAACCTTCCATTTTTATGGCAGTCTTGGCAGGATAAATATTAAGCTCACTTCACCGTAGCTCCCTGGTTGCCATGAGAGAAGATATTCGAAGATAAGCAGAAAATTATTATTATGACTTTTGGAATTTACAATTATTTATATACATGATATGTCATAGATTTTTATTTTACAATTATACTTTTATCCATACTATCTCCAACGATAATTAATTATTGTATTGATGAGATACACGCATTTTAAAGATCCCACACATAACCCTTACGAGCGTAGCGAAGATTTAAAAGAAAAAGAAATCAACGTTAGCACACGTTAGTATATACCCCAGTATATATACCAATCAGTATTGGCACTCTGAGGCGGCACGTTTGATCTTTAAAAGTAGAAATTTTAGTTGACACTTGACGTTTTCGGGATATGAAAAGTTTTCTTTACACGGACTTGGTATACCTGGTTAGTTGAATTTTTGTTCTGCTGCTTTTCAAATTTGTGTGTATGAGCGAGATGTGAGATACCTTTATAGACAACGGTTGAACAACTTAATTACTTTGAAGAAGAAAATAGATTAGATATCAGGGCAGTCTTCGCAAATGTGAGAAGGCAGAACCGTTTTAAATTTTTTTTATATATGTGAAATATTACTTTTTAGTGAAAAGTTTAATTACTTTTAGTTCAAAATATAACGTTAGCTTGTCAAGGAAAATATATAACACAAAAGGTTAGAGTAACAAAATAAAGGTTTTGCTTTATTTCTTAAGAATTACTCTAATTTAAAACTTTTCTATGTTGTAGAAATTTATTCTATACGTTATTTAGGTACTTACTGCAAAATCTATGTAGTTTTAAATATAAAAATTTATAATGGAGACATATTTAGTGTAGTTTTTTTTTACAAATATATACTCAGTGACTTGTTTTAGTGAATGAGTTCAAGTATGGCAGACTAAAATCGTTACGTTTTATTATAAATTTATTTAAAAATGGGAACTATATGTATATGGTTTGCGTAGTTTTTACACTTGTAATAAAAATATCAAAGTTATGTTTATTTGCCATTTACTACACACAGCAAATTCATAGACACTATACATATCAATATTTAACATTCTTATTAAACTCATTAATTTAAAATTAACTTTAAACTGAGTGACTACACACAGAATTGTTTGAAAGCAGCCATAAGGTATAATTTATTTATTGGATACTATAAAAAATTAATAGTAGTTACATGTAGAGTTAAGTAACAAGAACTTTATAAACAAAACAAACCTTTATATCTAGTGAACTTAATTTAGTACAATCCTCAACTTCCTTAGGCTAACATTAAAGATATCTACTTGGACCTCACTAAAAAACTCATTGGTAACAGCCATTATCTTGTTAAAAGGAAATATACTACTTGGATCTAAACTAAATAATTTTTTGTTACTTGGGATTCTTAGATTAATATTTGCCACATTAAAATTTATATAGTCAATCAAATCACAATCTTTGTACTTAATATTATTTAAAATAGAGTACAAAATATATCACAGTTGCTTTCTTCTTTGTAAAAGAGATTTAATCTTAAAACTATAGAGCATAGTTTTATATGAGATCTTATAAAGGTACAAGTATTTTTTATGGCATAAAGGTACGGTAAAAATATTTTTTGTACTTTTTCAATATGATCAATATGTGTGGCTTTCAAGGGCATCCATATTTGTGAAACATACTCAAGATGGGGTCTTAGTAAGGCATTATATAATCTGATTTTGGTGGTAATTCTAAATTTTTTTTGTATTTCTGATTTAAAAACCCAAAGCTTTTATTGTTATTTTAGTTAT